TTCCTGCTGGATTCCCTTTCGATCCAATCTGATTACAAACCTCACCTCTTCCTCCCATGCAGGTGGGCAGCACGCTCTGCATGGATGCAGTTGTGAAGCAAAGCCCACGTGCTCTCCTCCCCTGGCACATCCTTTATTTAATGCCATCAGCTCTGTGATAAAGGGGTAAATACACCAGATATTGATTCTTCCACATTCCAGCTTTGAAGGGACCTTAAAGCTCCTCCAGCTCCAACCCCTGCCCCGGGCAGGGACACCTTCCACTAGAGCAGGTTGCTCCAAGCCCCTGTGTCCAACCTGGCCTTGAACACTGCCAGGGTGGAGACATCGGCACAGTTAATCCCGTGGCACAGCAGAACCCCCCAAACAAGGGCTGGAGGCTGCTCCTTTGGCTCTGTTTCGCCAATAACAGAGCTGGGGGCAGTGGTTTGAAGTCTCTCTCGAGTTCAGTGCTATAAAGGGATCATTAGATGATCTAATCCAACCTCCCATCCATCACAGTGCGTTAAATAGCTCTTTGGTAACGGGAGCCAAAGTGTCTCATCCAGAAAGGCCCCTCTGTCTTCATTTAAAGACATGAAGAGACAGGGGACTTGCCACTTCCCTTGCTGGCTTGCTTCACTGGTTACTCACCCTCTCTCTGACAACATGCCTCCAACTTCTAAATTTAAAGCTTTTCTGGCTTGATCTTCCAGACATTACCTCTTGTTGTGCCTTCGTAGGGGCAGAACACACCCTGCAAGACCTGGAGCCCAGGAGAATACTCTGAAAGCCCAAAACACCTCTTCATTTTGCAAGAAAGCTGTAGAGGTTCAAGCTCACGCTGAAAAACACATCCTTGAATTTATCATCTGTCTGTTTCTTACGCATCCCCTCCCACTGGTGTCCCAGTTAAAATGGGAACACTGGATGTGGATGCAATATGTGGATGCAATATCCCAGCACAGATTGTGTTAACATCGAGCACTCAGATACAAAGGTGGTTGGGGATGACCCCTTCATCTGGTTCTGCCTTATCTGCTGGGGTGGGCAGATGTGTTGCATGTTCAAACACCCTCTTCCTGTGCATAACTGCAGGCAAAAGTGAGGATATGATGCCCAGGCAGCACAAATAACTGCTGCATAACCCTGGGTTTGGGCTCACCTGCAAGTTTTATGAGGTTTTGATTCATACAGAGCTGAAAATAGATGGAAATGATCAAATATTCAGAGGGTGACACTGAAATCTTGCTTCCTTGGTCTACAAAGGCAGGACAAAAGCCTCTGGATAGAAAACCTGGTGGGACTGGCTGCTGTGAGCCAGCCAGATGCAGCCTTTGTGATGGAAGAGACCAGGTGCCTGTGTTGCAGGGATTGAGGGATGGATGCATGGCCAGCAGGGAGCTGGGGCCACCTGAAAAGCCAGAGGGGATGGAAAGGGGATGGAAAGAGGATGGAAAAGCTCTTTTGGAAGAGGGTTATCAGCACAACTTGCCCCCATTGCTGCCACGAATCCCAGACACTGTGCTTTTCCCCACCTCCCTGCAGCAGGAAGAGTTTCTCCTCTCAATGAGTAGCCTAATTCTCTCCCCAGTGGCCCATAAAATAATTAACACAAGCCCCAAACTGGATGAACCTTTACCCCCCCTGCTCCCCATCGTGCAGATTAACGACTCAACCCTGCATCATTAATCTCTAAACTGGGCTGTTGAATGAGCAATTTGTGTCCAATAACCAACCTGACAGGTATTAAACATTCCTTACGCACACAGGACGCAAGTTACTCATTAAAGAGGAAAATGTGTTGAAACATTAAGCAGAAAAGGACCCATAAAACATCCCTTTCCAGCCTTTTTGAGAAGCCAACTGTGTTTGCAGAGAATCAGCTGGGTTGGGAAAGACCTTTAAGCTCATCCAGTCCAACCGTTCCCAGCAGTGCCAAGGCCACCACTAACCCCTGGCACTGAGGCCTCGTCTACCTGGGCTGTGAACGCTTGCAGGGACGGTGACTCCAGCCCTGCCCTGGGCAGCCTGTTCCAATGCCTGAGCACCCTCTGGGCAAGGAATTGTTCCTCAGCTCCAGCTAAACCTGCCCTGGGGCAGCTTGAGGCCACTTCCTCTTGTCCCATCCCTTGTTCCTTGGGAGCAGAGACCAGCCCCCTCCTGACTCCATCCTCCTGTCAGGCAGTTGCAGAGAGCGATCAGGTCCCCCCTGAGCCTTCTCTTCTCCACACTAAACCCCCAGGTCCCTCAGCCCTTCCCCATCACACTTGTGCTCCAGGCCCTGCTCCAGCTCCGTGCCCTTCTCTGGCCCCCTCCAGCACCTCAATATTCATGCCTGCAGGACCCGATATATAAATATACTGCCTGTTAAGGGGACAGTGTGATTGCCTGTGGGACTGGCAGCTCTGAGATGCATTGGGCAGGCAGTGCTCGGTACTCGCTGTGTACACCCTGTGTACATTGGCTTTGTTAGGGATGAACATTTGGTCTCCCACTACACAGCTGAGCAAATTCTTTGGTGATGAGGGAAAGTTTAACCACTTCAGGGATCACATCAGGTTGGCACGAGATGTATTGTGGAAAGACAAGGTGATGCCATCCTCTTTTTGGGATGGGGGGATCAACAACAGGCTCCTTCTGAGCCAGGGCAGCTCTGGAATGCAGCTTGGGAATGTTCCCTTACCTGATCAAGTAGCAACAGAAGAGCAAACTGAGGATGAAGACGAAGATGGCCGTGCCAAAAACCACGATGTATATGTTGAGAGGCAGGTTCTGGAACCCGATGTTCGGCATCCTGAAACTGTAATGCTGGAAGTCCGAGCTCATGGGTAGGCTGTGGGAGAAAACACAGGGATGAGGCTCCTCCAACAGCACAGGGTGCCCTTTGGTCACCAGTGATCCCTCCAAAGGCAGCAGAGGGGAAGGAGAAGGCCGTGAGCAGCGCTGCCTCCCTGCTTGTCCCCCCCTGGGGTGAAGGCATCCGTGCCCAAAACTGGGCTCCCAGCTCAGTAACACTGAAAACAAAGCAGGGCTGGATCAGCCAGGGCTGGGATTCTTCTTCTCCCGCTGTGAGTTCCTCCTCCAGCTATTTTCCCCTCTCCCCTACACACATCAGCCTCCAAGTGAGACACCACATCAGATGGATGGTGGGGATTTGCATCCAGCTGCAGCTCATGTCCCCCAGACCCCACATTACTTAGGCCAAAACACTGGAAGCAGCCAGAAACCCTTGTAGCAAAGCACGTTTTCCTTCCCTTCCCCTCCTGTGGTTTCCAAGACTGATTCCTCATTCCATAGAAACCCCCCCCCTCCAAAACCATGGAGCATGGACATGAACCAGCGTGGGCTCAACAACGCTCCCCACGGAAAGAACGACGACATTCCCATCCACACGGCAGCGCTGCCAAGGAATTACAGGGGCCATAAAAGAGACTTGGTTTGGGGTTTTCCATGTGAGATCCCGGGAATTTTTGCAGCTTCCAGCTTTGTTCCTCAGTACATCCCAAAGCTGCTTCCCCCCAGCAAAAAACCCAACGGAGACACAATGATTTGGGCTGTCCACGTACCACGTCTTGGACCAAAACCTCCCTCCCCTTGGAGAGACCCAACCAAAGCGGGAGCAGCACCTGGAATAATGATTGCAACGGATCATCTGTCCCATGGGTTTAGTTTTATGATTCATTGCACAGGACATGAATATTTGACCATCACCCTCACAGGGTGCTCTTCAGGAGTAAGGCAGAAACCAGCCCCGTGTCTCTGTATCAGCTTCACCCCGCTCTCGCTGCCCTAACACCACATTAATACTCAAAGCCCTTAACTACAAGGCACATATTTACTCCTTCTCATCATTATTCCTTTCCTTTGCAATCATTCCTTGAAGCACTCACCCCTGAATGATCACAACTGTCTCTGGCCAGGCAGAAAGTTCCCCCCCAGCTTGGAAAAGGAAGTTGCAGAGGTATGTTGTGTGTTTTCCTTTCTGCCCACAGGAGAGGGCTGGATGTGGCACGCACTGAAGTTTCCCAACCAGCAGGGAAAGTACCTGCAGTCTGAGCCCTGTTTCCTAAATACAATTACTGAGGGATAACAAAACCCTCCCCTGGAGCAGGGAGTTTTCCAGGGAGCAGTAATTGCACCTCTCCCAGTTGTACACGGGCTGAGAAGATGGCACCTCAACTTCACTGGTTTAGTCTTTACCGTGAGGGTGCTGGGGCGCTGGCACAGGGTGCCCAGAGAAGCTGTGGCTGCCCCATCCCTGGCAGTGTTCAAGGCCAGGTTGGACACAGGGGCTTGGAGCAACCTGCTCTAGTGGAAGGTGTCCCTGCCCGTGGAACTGGATGAGCTCTAAGGTCCCCTCCAACCCATTCCATGATTCCAAACCCAAACATACCGAGCAGCAACAGTCTAAAAGTCAGAGCATCCTCCAAACATCCCGCTCCTCCAGCAGCCTCCTCGCTCCTGCATCTCCTTTCCCCCTTCACACCCTGGTTTTGCTGAACCTCCTGCTCCTTCCTCTCCTCTCCCACCCCACTGCTCACCCACACTCACCTTTCAGCCCCTCGCTCGCACCCTCCTCGCGCCCCTCGCCGAAGGCAGCATCTCCACCAGCCCCCAGCTCCCAGCCCAGCGCCTCCTCGCTCCAGCTGCTTTCCGATTCCTCGCTGGAAGTTCTGAGGTGGTTTCTGGGAAAGCCTGGATTTGATTAAAGCCTCCAGAGACCAACACGCATGTTCAGACACTCCCGGCCAACGTGGATATGCTACGGGAGCTTGGAGCACCGGCACAGCCCCCTGCCAGCTCTGGTAGGAAGGGGTTTTATAGCACAGCAACCACCCCGCAGCTCACAGCCCTCCACCAATGCTCGTTCTGCTCAGCCGAGCCTGGTTTGCTTTGCAAATCAAGTAGGAAAAGCCCAAACCAGCCCCCAAACCTTTGTTCCCAGCTCCTGGCAGGGTTAATGCACAGCTCATAGGGTTGGGTTTGGTTTCCATCCCCGCGCCGGTTGCTGGGTCAAAGGGATTTGACACGGTTCAGGGGCTCTCCCCTCCGTCACGCTCACACCATGGAGGATGTTTTGGCTGGAGGACGAGGCTCTGTCTGTCCCTGCCTGCACTGGGGCTTGTGCTGATGGTCACTGGTGCTGGCCAAGGCTGGCTCCAGCTCCTCAACCACCCCAAGGGAAGGTCAAACACGCTCCACCTGGGAAAGGTTCGGATGCAAGGAAGGAGAAACCACTCTTGGAGAAGAGGCAACAAAACCAACCACCACTGGACTATTGTTTTAGTTCCCTTTATGACTCCCTTAACTGGTGATGCTCTACCAAAGCCAGGGGGTTCAACTCAGCTCTTCCACCAGGAGATACCACAGAAGACCATGCACAAAAGCAGAGAAGATGGGTAAGGAAGATCCAGGCTGCACTTAGTATCTCCTCAAGCCAAGAAAAACTCCTTATTCCCACCTATGGAGCTCTTCCACCAGTCCCCATGACCACAGCTACAAACCACCCCCAGCAAACACTGGTCCATAGAAACAAAGCCCCATCCCACACACACCATCCTCCTTTCTTCTTCCAATGGTATCACTTCCTCATATTCTGTCCCATGACCTACCTGCCGGCCATACCGCAGGGCTCAGCCTCCTGGGGACAACCCTTTGGTCCCCCACGGGGCCAGTCCAGCGAGTCCCACACCAGATTCATCACCCCAAAGGTGAAATAACCTCCTCCACATCGGAGCTACCCTGGTCCTGGTCCTCCCTTCCTCATGCTGCAACAGCTGAGGAATGTTATGGCAAAGCCCACGGATGTTAGAGGGGAAAAACTTAAGTTCTGCTGCCCAGGATGCAGGAAACCGTTAACTTTAAAAGCCTTCACTGAAATCTGATGATTTGAAGCAGCCAAGCTTTGGGGTTGGGCTTTTTTTTGGCTTTTCTGGAGGGGGGTGGGGGAGGAGGAACAACTGTATTTTAATCTGCTTCAGATTTGGGAGAGCACAGCCAAGAGAAATAAAAAAGGAGCCATAAAGAAGGATGAAAAGTTTCTGGTGCAGAACAAAAGCCTCCCTGTTGCTCTCTGCATGGCCGAGGCACTGCAGAGCAGGCAGATGGTCCTCCTGGGGCACCCACCACAGCCTCTGGGATGGGGACATGAGCTGCCTGGAGAAAATGGGGTTGGTAACACAGGAACCTCACAGAGGGGAGGATTTCCCCAGTGGATGGGACCTTCTCTGCAGCGTGAGGGGAGAATCCATGAATCCCATATCGGAAGGGACCTCAGGATCATCTGCTCCAACCTTTCCAGGCACAGCATCACCTACACTAGATGTCCCAGCACCGTGTCCAGCCCAGTCTTAACAGTGTCCAACGCTGGGGAGTCACCACGTCCCTGGGGAGATTATTCCAGTGCCTGGCTGTTCTCACTGGGAAACATTTTCCCTTGTGTCCAGTTGGAATCTCCCCAGGAGCAACTTGTGCCCATCACTCCTCGTTGTTCCCATGGGATTCCTTGTCAAAAGGGAGTCTCCATCTGCTTTGTAGCCACCCTTTAAGCACTGGCACATGGTGACAAGGTCTCCCTGAGCCTTCCCTTCTCCAGCTGAACAGTCCCAGCTCTCCCAGCCCTTCCTCCCATGCCAGGAAGATGCTGACTTGCTCCTTGTCTATAAAAGGAACCTGCCACGATGGCAGAAAGAAGCAGTGAGGAGTGTGGGCAGGCACCATGCCCCATTTCTGCCCACATCTCTGCCTGCAGATGGGTGCATCAGGTCTGTGTGTCCTCACAGAGCATGAAACCAGGGGAGAGGAGCCCTAAACGTCGAGGGCTGGGGAGGCAGCACCACGGCTCCTGCCACCAGCAGCACTCAGGGCAGAAGAAATGAGTCTGCTCCCCTTGAGGAGCCTTCTCTTCTCCAGCTGCCCCAGCCCAGCTCTCTCAGCCTGGCTCCAGAGCAGAGCTGCTCCAGCCCTCGCAGCAGCTCCGGGGCCTCCTCTGGCCTCGCTCCAGCAGCTCCACGTCCCTTTGGTGTCCTTCCTTCTTGTCCTTCTTACATTGCAATATATGTGTTATACAAACAGATGTATCTTGAACAAAACTACCTTCAACTAAAGCAAGAGTGAGAAAACCTGCTTTCCCCAGGCTGCAGCATGCAGGGAACTAGATGGTGTTTGTTTAGTGATACAACAGCTTCCAAAAATAAAAGGGAATGGCGATGTCCTCACGATGGGGCTGTAGAGAGGGACCAGAGGGAGCCAGCAATGGGAATACCACAAAGCAGAACAACCTTCTTCACACCTTCCAGTGAATAACCCGTGTGGGGCCGAGCACAACCCTGATTCTTCAATGACTACAACAACGAGCCTCAACGAAAGGCCAGGTTGTGGCTACTGGCATATTGGGAAGTCAGGAGGTGAAGTGCTGTGGGTCAGCATTAGCTCACTGCCTTCACGGCGCTCTCATTGCCAGCTGGGTGGTTAAAGGCAAACCTAACCAAACCACGCGGCCAAACTAATGCCTGTTACAATCATAGCAAGCATTTAATGCACTTAATAAGCAAGATCAACCTCTGACCCAGAGCTTTCATGAGGAGATCCCAAAGGCACTGATAGAGGAGGCAATTCTTTTCTCACAGGTAGAGAAACTGAGGCAGGGATGAGGGGAGCGAGGCCAGGCTGACACCAGGGATGCTGCTGGACCACTGCGATGATGCCCCGAGCATCAGTGATGGGCTAAAAGCCCATCTTTTCTTTCCAGCTGCTTTGTTGTGTGGTTTTGAACCTGCTCTAGTGGAAGGTGTCCCTGCCCATGGCAGGGGGTTGGGACTGGATGAGCTT